GGGGGGGGGCATGGGGAGGGCTGCGCAACACAAAGAAGGCAAGCAGTGATTCTGTAGTATCTTACTACGCTTATGGACAGTGACTGTAATGGGGTATATGGGGGGGACTTGGTGAAGGGGGGAGTCTAGTAACCATAATGTTGCTCATGTAATTGTAGATTAATGATACCAAAATTTTAGAAAATAAAAACTATAATGCAAATTATTTTTAAAAATAAAATAAAAGCACCTTGGAACACCGCTTTCATGTAGCAAATAGAAAGTGCTAACTTCTATTACAGAGAGAAGAAAATCCCCTCAACATGAAATCAGAAAGCAAATTCGAATTAACTGAAATGGTCCAAAAGATCATTTCATTTGGAACAGTTGCTGAATGTACAGGAAATGCTCAGAAAAGCCAGGAAGAAAGAGTTTGTCACTACAAAGTATTCTGTCTCAAACACAGACCTGGGCTTGGAATGACTGGACGTGTGGTTCTCAAAGCAAGCACAGGAGCAGGGCCCAAGGACTGCCAACCCCCTTTCTTTCTGGCCTTTGAAACGGTTGTCAGAAAAGCAGGCAGCAAAAAATATGAGAGTTTGCTTATATCTATTTAAAAATTCAAAAACAAAATGAAGGTGATACAATTTTGTGAAAACTTCCCATGCACCGGTTTGCTATGGGGATGAACAATTTTATAATCACTGTTCAGATTCAGACACTCAGGAGTATCTTACCACATTGCTTCTGGGCATTGTGAAGCGATTCCCTCCCAACACATTTGCCACTGACACATGTGCCAGGTTTCAAGAGCAGAGAGGAGGCTCAGGCCTTGGTAAGTGAAGAAAAGGCTGTGGTCAGCCCCAGCACAAAGGCCCCTGGGAGCAGAGGCCGGCAGGTACGAGTGGCAGAAGCCAATCTCTACTTGCTCTCCCACAGCTAAACTCATAGAGGTCAAGTCCACTCTTTTCTGAATCAGGACCATTATAGAAGATGCCCTCAGACACCAAACGCTAGTTTCCACAGCCTCTCCAGTCAGTTTCAACGTCCAGGGCAGAGTCCTGACATACCCCTGGACGAAGCCCTCCCAGAACTGGCCTCGCCTGCACTCCGAGCACTCCCAAACTCAGCTCCATCTCTACACAACCTTATTCTGAAAAGTTTCCAAAATAAAAAATACATATTCTTTCTTTATCTCAACAAATGACTGTTCTTTTGTTTTTCTAATAGCTCTAAACTACTACTTCATACAAGCATCCAATTCTGCAAGGGAAGTAAGTGGTTGACATCCTGAAATGTGCACTCTCCATCAGTACTCTCCTGCATCAGTACTCCCATCCATCAGTACTCCCCTGCATCAGTACTCCCCTCCATCAGTACTCTCTCTCCTCCATCAGTACTCTCCTGCATCAGTACTCCCCTCCATCAGTACTCTCCTCCATCAGTACTCCCCTCCATCAGTACTCTCTCTCCTCCATCAGTACTCTCCTCCATCAGTACTCCCCTCCATCAGTTCCACCATCAATACTCTCCTCCATCAGTACTGTCCTCCATCAGTACTCCCCTCCATCAGTACTCCCCTCCATCAGTACTCTCCTCCATCAGTACTCCCCTCCATCAGTACTCCCCTCCATCAGTACTCTCCTCCATCAGTACTCCCCTCCATCAGTACTCCCCTCCATCAGTACTCTTCTCCATCAGCACTGTCCTCCATCAGTACTTTCCATCAGGCATACCCAGCGAAGCGGGCTCAATTGCCAATTAATTGTTCATCAGTTTCAGCCAGGGGTAGGAGGTGGGGATAGGGGTGTAGTGGGGAAGCAGGGGTGGGGATGAGGGTGGCATTCATTTCCTCAGTCCACCCTTGATTGTCTTCTCATCAGCAACTCACCTCTCCTCAAAACATTTTCCATCCTCTATACTGTCCATAAACCCTACCTGAGAAACTGGCATGAAACATGAAAAGAAAGCATTCAACACAAATGTTAAGACAAATTTCTGCAAAACTTGAAGCAATTTCATTTCAAATTCAAGGCACACAGTAAGAAGAAAGCAAACATGTTCATCGCAAAGCATGTGCAAGCATGGCTGTCTGGTTTCTAGTCTTCAAATGAAGGAAGTTTTTCATTTTAAGCATTGCCATAAAAAAGATTTTGCTATGTAAATCACAGAGGTGTTAAGAGGGGAAAGGAAAACCCACCTCTGTAAAAAAAAAAAAAAAAAAAGCCCAATTTATTTCCCTGTTAACAACACATATACAAAATGCAGTAGAGAATTCAAATTCAAGTTGAGAAGAGCATAAACCGCAGGATCAAAGTCATTATGTGAATAAATTCAAAATTAACTGGACAAGCATGCTCAATGCATTCAAAGAACTTGAAATCACTGTAAATCATTCACTTAACCATGCTAGAGGAAGAATCTTCCTCTCCAACAGACAACATAAATCAGCAGGGTGCCCCGCCAAACAAGGACCAAACAATAATCAGGTTTTTAACAGTTCTGATTTAAAGTTACTTAAATCAGAATGTCCCAAAGATCACAAACCAGAAATTTTAGCCATTCATTCACCCCACTATGAAACAAGCACTTCAAAAAAAGTAACCAAAAGAAACTGAGCACACAGATCATGTACCTGGGTCAATGAGAACTTCTTGTGCCCCTGGAAGAAAGAACAGATTAGGGTCTTTTATTTGGAAAACAAAACTACTTTTAAAGATAACTACAAATCACATTGTATAATTCATACAGCCTTGACAAACCTGAGACATTTATGTCTGATCAGAAAAGCAGTTCTAAATAACATATGTTACAGGCTCAGTGCCTTTTCATTTTAGAAGGGGAAAAAAAGCTAACAATACTCGTATCCTGCCCAAATGGCCAAGTACCTTCCCCACTTTCTAAGCTCGTGCTCCCCAAATTTCCTTAAAAGTATGAGAATTTCTTAGTCCCACAAACAAGCCCAATGACAAAGGAATATTCACTTATTTGTGCAAATATATGCCCGCATCTTAAAATGGAGGGGAAAGGTGTCAGAAGGCTCTATGAAACTCATCCCTACCCTCCCAGAATCTGTCTCTCTCTCTCTCACACACACACACACACACTGAATTACTGAACACTTCATGAGCTAACATACCCAACTTTTAGAAGGTAGCTTTGTAGTTAGTAAAATATGAGCCAGTTAACTTCATTGTTATCAAGAAGCTTTTGAAAGCCTATCTGCCAAACCATCCGGGTATCAGTGAGATCCAGTTAGCCTTCTCTGCAGAATGCAATTTCCCATGATGGCAAAAGACACCTGAGAGGCACTGGCCTCAGGAGTCGTGTTTATCATTACCTAGGATCATTTTTAAACACATTAACAAGTATAAAATGGGGATGTCCCAGTAACATACATTCTTCTTGAAATAGCATATCTATTCAATTGTCTATATAGAAACTAGGTCACTATATAAAGAATAACCCTATTTAAGAGGTATTTTGTAATATTGCAATCTCTATTTTTAAATCTAGACTAAAAATCGCTGCAATCTAGAAGCCATGGTTTTGAGGGACAGAGGCTTCCTGCTGAATACCAGCTGCACAGCAGGTGTAATGTCTGACCAGCATCACGCACGGTTCCCGGAGCCAACCCGAGAGCAGACAAGCCCTGGGCCTGCCTGTGGGCCAGAGGCTGGAGTCCGAGGGGCTCCCCCAAGCCCATGACCTGAACTGACAGGCCTGCGCTCAGGAGACTCCAAGCTCCACAGAACCCTGGGGAATTGTGGGTTTCCAGATAACCCTGCAAATGTTTCATTCAGTGAAAAAAACCAGTCAAATACATCACACTGGGCCATATCGTTTAAGGAGGAAGTATGACTGAAGCATGTTCAGTGCCTCAGAGTCATCGGTGACCTAGCCTCCCAGAGCATCTGTGATGAACCGGCCCCCCCCTACAAAGTGCACTCATATTTCAGAGCTTTAAAGTTGTTTTATTCATTTTGTAAAAATCTTCGTCTCATGACTCACATGGGCAGTCGGCTACCCCTTCTCCCTGATGTGGACACGAGACAACCCCTCTATGCCTTTAAAATTCCCATCTTCTAAGTCATTGTGGGACTGTCATATGGCCCAGATCACTTCTCCAAACAGCAAAAAAAAAGCTCAACCACAAAAAATGGACAGCTTCTTACCGAATGGACTTGCACATCTAATTGGACTTCCTGGAAGTCCTTCTCTTTTATTAAACTCACTTATAGGTACTTAATAGTTTTCTGATCGGTATTAGTAACATGCAGACTTTGGTACCTGATTACCTGGCGTACTCAAAAGACTTCTCGTCTTATGTGGGTGGGCAGGTGGGGGGAAATAATTGGTGCTGTTTGAAGAAATCACTCAGTGAGAAAAAGGGGTATCCTCCACACAGGTCTCCCTGGGCAGAAGTTTCTCCACGTGCTCAGAAATGTGCTCGTCGGCATCATCAGCCCCCAGTGGACTGATTTCACATTAACCAAACTCATGAGAGACTAATGTAAGAAAACTGGTGGTTGGACTATTAGTACACAGGAGACATAAAGTGATCAATCAGACCAAAATATTAGAGGTTCAGCTGTCAGGATTCCCCCTCAAGGGCCCAGTCAGCAGGGGGTCACGCAGAGGCACTGGAACACCGCAAGAGGGGTTTCCTAGATCAACTCGATGGAGTGACTTCCTGTCTCAGGGACAGGCCTGCTGCCTAGACAAGCATCAGCGCTGATCATGGTGCTCTGCCCGCGGACAGCGGCCGAGACACCACGGCCGGCCCCCGCATAGCTCTCCCTGCCCACTCCTTCTGGGCTGGCCAAGTCCTGACCAACACACAGATGTACGCGGAGAGCAACAGACAGGCTGGCACCTCTACACGCCTGAAGCTGGTCTCTGGGAGCCAAGCCAGACGGGCATTCCGGACCCCAGCTCTGCCACTTACCAGCTCTGGGGGCTCGGTCAGGTCTCCCTCTCTGGGCCTCAAGTTCCTCATCTGCACGAGTGGGATGATTGATAATCAAACCTACTCTGCTGGGTTGTTGTGAGGATGAAAGGATTACACCCGTTTATGTAAAACACTTTGAGTAGCAAATAGTGCGTTTTAATCGCTCAGCAAATGGTGACTATTAAGGTGATTTTACAAACCTCTGTTCTAATCATCTTTTGTATTTCCTTATTTTCCTATTTACAGATTTTTGGGGAGCATCCATCCATTCCACCCCATGACTTGTTCAAACTGGGGGGCAAGGGGACACCTCCCCCCTGCTCCGGTTTCCACGGTGAAGGTCTGCCCTCAACACCCCTGCCGGGGCCCAGGTGACCAAGGCGCCCGTGGGTCCAGGGGTCTGGGCGACCAGCCCAACGCGGGAAGCCCTTCTTCCTCCTCCCTCGGGTGCCGGCCACCCTTGGGCAGCAGCCGGGGTGCTCGGTCCAGGCTCTGAGGACGCAGCGGGGAGGCCTACTGGGCGCGGGGCTGACCGAGACCCGGGAAGCGCGTCCAGCTCGGGAACACAGCACCCAGACGCCCCCTCCTGCGCCCGAAGGCCCGCGAAGCACGAGGCTCCATCCTGCCCGCCTGCCCGTCGGTCTGTCTCCTCTCCCAGACGGCCGACGCACAAGGTACCAGTGCGATACGGGGCGCCCTGAACTCCCACCAAATACCGATCAGCACATGATCCTCCGGCTTCGGGGGGTTCGGGGGGCTACGAGACGGCCCCGCCTCTAATGCCGCTAAACTGTGAGGATGGGGGCCACTGACCCTCCCCGGATCTTTCACTCATTTCCTAACTGGATCATTCTTCATAAAACCGTCCTTCCCTATTTTAATCCCTTAGTAATTGCCAAGGACTATAAAACAACGGTGGTTTATAGCTAGAATCTGTGAGATGCTTTAGGAGGTAACCTCTGTGCTGAACACTGTATGTGATTTCCCTCCAATCCTCACAAACCCGCAGAGCAGCTATTGGCTCCCTCATTTCACAGACGAGGAGAGACTCGCTCGGGCCACGGCCTCGAGCCCCAGGGCCGAGTAGTGGCCTGGACACCGGGACCCTCGTCACAAACCGGGCCCTTCCCACACCCCGAGTCAGCGCCCACGGGCAGACGGGGCGGAGGGGCAGCACTGGGGAGCTGCCGCGGGGCGGCCCTCGGGGGCCCCAGGGCCGGTGTCCGCCTTCCTGACCGAACCTCTGCAGGCTGGTTTCTGACACTGGAAGAAAAGTCCAATTTCACCATTTGTTCCAACAGCACCTCTGAAATTTTCACACTGAGATGACAGAACAAAAGTAAGATATACCTAGAAGGCTCTTCCAGGTATCCAGACACAATAGAAATGGTGCTACTCTGAAGCATTAAACAAAGAAATTAAATTAAAGGAACGCTGTTTTAAGTCTTCTTTCACAAACAGGAAAACTGACTTTTAAGAAGTGCAACAGCGCCACCTATGGCCAAAGCAAGGCTTCCCAAGATGCTGGGAAAGATGAACAAAAAATTGTCTGCAGAATAAATGATTGATCTGTAAGGTTTTTTAAAATAGGATGCTCAGAGACCTTAACCAAAAGCTCAGTTAGCACATACCAAATTCTGCTTCAGGGAAGGGGGCAGTTTTCAGTACTTAATCTGAAATCTTTAACACTCCTGAATACAAACAAAAGACATAGACTCATGGAAACTAATGGTGGAACGACTCTCAGGCGTGCTGGTCCGGCCCCTCTACTTCACAGACAGGGGACACCAAGACCCAGGAAATCTGTCCTGGCGATCAGCAGCTAAGCTGACTCCTGGTCCTCGTGCCTTGCACTATGCCAAAACAGACAGATCCGTACTAGCCCTATATTTATAAAAGTCACGTCTGCCTTTTTCCAACAGCACGTAGTCTACACATCTTGCAAAATATTTCCCAAAGAGCTGGTAAACTATAAATCATGCAATTTTGTTGAAATACCAAAACATTTATTTACATATTAAAACAGCATGAGTCCCCTTTTATTCCCTCTATAAAGGAAAAGATGTCAAGCCAACATTGTGATTTTTTTTAACCTATTAAGGGTACAGAAAAAAATCAAAATTTTCTTCAATCACAGAAGAGAAAGCCTTATTTCCTGAAAATAGCTCAGTATCAATTTTCCTAAACTTAATGGTGATGGTCAAACTCCTAGTAATTTAAAGGTTTTAGTGGATGATTACATGGCAATATGAATCCTGACTTGTAAAAATATATATTCTGTACAAATGACCAGTAAATTCTTCAGCTTAAGGCAATTTAACTATTCCCTATCTTACTAGAATGACACAGATTTCATCAAAACTTCACACTGAACTAAAAAAAGAGGTAACTGAGCCCTCACCCCTTTAAATCATATTAATTTCTATCACATGCATGTACATATTGAATATACATCAGAAATACATCCCCGTCCTCATATCTGAAGTCGACACTTCTGAACAACCTTTGTCACTGTGACAGCATGTTTATTTTTTATAAGCACCTCATAGGTGCTTTGTATGCAGGATCCCTAATCCCTCAGTCATACAAGGCAAATAGCATTATTCGAATTTCACAAATAAGGAAATAAACTTAGGTCATAAAAAATAAGGCTGACAATACCAATCCCACAAAACTTACCTAGCCATCATCAGGAAAGAAGACCACAGATT